CGAGATAGACACCCCCTCGCCCCCCCTGTCCTCCCCCCGGGCAACCTCCCCACCTGGAGTCGATGAGGGAGGTGCGGTTGGAGCCGTCGGCGCGGACGTGCAGCCACTCGATGGTGACCCTGGCCAGGTCGCTGCGAGGGGACAGCCGCTGGTGCCTGCGGAGCGCGGCCTCGGGGACCGGCTCCTGGAAGAGGCGCAGCACGGCCTGCACCAGCTCGCTGTTGGGGGGCAGCCGGCGCTCCATGCTGAGCACCAGCAGGCGCGTGGAGGCCTCGGACACCAGGAACCTGCCGGCCACCTCTGGGGACAACAGCAGGGTCAGGGCACCTCTGAGGTGGCCGGGCTGAGCCTGGGTTTCCCCAGTAACGCACAGGGAGAACCTGGGGCCTGGGAAATGGGGGGCCAGGGGAGAAAGGGGGCACCTCCACCTTCAAACACTCCCGGCCCTGCAGGTGTGGCTCGGTGGTTGTGCACTGACCCGTGAACCAGGAGGTCAGGGTTGGACTCCCGGTCGGGGCACATTCCTGGGTTGCGGGCTCGGTCCCCAGTGTGGGACGTGCAGGAGGCAGCCAATGGATGAAGTTTCTCTCTCGTTGATGTTTCTATCTCTCTATCCCTCTCTCTCTCTAACAATCAATAAAAAACATTTTTAAATATTTGTTATTGATTTCGGACAATCATTTGCCCTGGGGCTTATTTACTCGCGGCCCCGCCTCAGGGGGCAGGGGCAGCTTTAGGCCCGGAGCGGGTGTAGATGGACAGGCAGCCTTTCCAGGCAGAGGTGGGGACACAGGGTGGGTGAGGAGGGGTGGGGAGTGGGAGGCAGAGGGCCCGGGCAGTGGGATCTGGTACCAGCTGGCTCTTCCACGGGGCAGAGCGAGAGCCCCGAGTTTATCCTCATTTTCCTCTTCGGTGAAATGTCCCCCAAAAGCAGAAGAGGACCAGGGGCCTGTGAACAACTTTCTCAGACGCCTGAGCCCAGAGGTAAATGGGGTCACGTACAGCGGAGGGACCAGGCACCCCAACACCCGAGACTCCAGGTTGGCAACATGAGCCGAGGTCTTTGTGCCAGGCCTCCTCCCCGGGCACCAGCCTGGCTGGGGAGCAGGTCCCTGGATGTGGGGGCACATGCAGTCTCCCTCCCACCTCCGTCCCCTACCCACAACCGGCCAGGGTGCAGGGAGGGCCTCACCTCGGAAGTTCTGGCTGAACCTCTTCCCTCGCGATCGGGCGCCGTGGCTGCGCTGCAGCAGGGC